CCGCCAACGTAACAAACACAAGGACCGTTTGGAATAGGATAGCCCACTTACTAATGGCGAATGAATTTTTTTTTGCTTCTACAATAAATAAAAACAAATAATGATAAATAAAAAAGCTTTTGCTTTTTATTTATTTTTGCTTGTCGAAAATATTGGATAAATAATTAACTTAATTATATGCGAAATCTGTCCTTCAGCTTCCTTACTAATAACTTTATAACGCGTGCTATCCAATTAGTTTATAGACTTTATACGTAGTAATACTTTCTGTTTCCTGTTATTCCAAAATATTAATTTACCTGTTTTTTTTTCAAATTGGCAACTATATACAGTGTATTTCCGATAGGAAATCGTAACAAACAAAAAAAGTTATAATCTATAAAGCAATCATCAAACTGATTCGAACTTATTGTCTTCAGCTGTGTGGTACTACAAAAAAGTAATCTATAAAATTGATTACTATAAAATAATAAATGAATTGTTTTTTTTTTAATATATCCGAATGATACTTTGTTATACAGATCTTATCTTTGATCAAAAAAGATCAACTTGAAATCGGGAACATAATGTACCTATAACAACAAAGTTATAATTTAGAAAGTCATCAAACAACGCTCAAAAGTTAAGATAATATCCTTTATTGGTTATGAATACAATTGTCTAAATTTATCCCCCAGTATTCTTTATAACTGGGTATATTTACGGATGCAAACTGTAGATTCTGCGAAGAGAATGAGGAGTCGGCCCCACATGTGCTGTTTGATTGCCCTGCGCTAATGCACATACGGAATAGGCTCCTGAGAATGTATATTCTTATGGAAGAGGCAATTAAACTCTGTTAAGTAGGTTCTATACTACTTTTACTTTTCTATACTACTTTTTATTGACGCAACAGTACTTAGAGACCTACTCTAAACCCAGAAGGGGGCACAATAGCCCCGACGCTTACAGTGCCACATCCCCTAACAATAATAATAATAATAAAATGTATATAAAAACATAATAAAGAGATTATAATTTTTTTGGATATTTTCGAATGACATTTTGTTATAACAACCACATTTTTAATCAAAACGTATAAATCAATATGAAATCGTGTATGTTTGAGTCATTATAAACCAATAATATTCAAAGTACTTATATTTAATTATAACTCAATTGTGTAATTTTTTTATTAACAAATGATCACTAAATATTTTATTTGATGAAAATACGGCTTCCGCTATTTACGCTAAAGAGTTTAACACATCGCGTAGACAATTTAAATGAAGCCGAAATATGAACGCCTATGATAATTTTTACTGTCTTGAACTTGAGTTCGTCTAAATTGTAAAGTTGATGGTTAGATAAGATCAATTTCACGGCCAATGTTATGGTCAGTTGAATCATTAGAGCATAGAGCATTATGAGTAACGAAAAGCTCCATAAGGCGGTCGATGGTGTTAATCAAATTTGCACCTCACTGCAATTGGGCGCAGAGTCCCATACTCGTCATGCGATCTAATTGATTTTTTTGGGTTTTGGAATAAAAACATAATTGTTTTGTAGATTTCATAATTATTTTCGTAAATGCAAGTACACATGCAATTACATCAATGACAGATAAATAAATGACTTGCAAATGTTAGACCAATGTTGACAATATCTGATCTTGAGTTGACATGAAAGTGGTTTTACGCACGTAGTCCAAACCCAGCTACAAGATAGATGTTGTTGTCGTTGGGCAAAAATCATTGTATCGATATGTAAGCACCGTATGCAATTTATTAGAAAATGAATAGTGGAATGTATACTTTCTCAATCTGCACAAATTAACCTTGAAATATTTACAATAAATAATAGCAAATTTATTGAATTCAAAACAAAAAATTACACAAAACGGCAAAAAATTCATACATATTCAATTTTTGGACTGTCTTTAACGAGTTTAGTGAACTAATTTTTGTTTTTACTTTTGCCCTTTTTCAGTTTAAAACTAATTTCAATATCTTTTTGTATCTTTGCTAAAAATTTTTTCTATTGTATTTCAATATTTTTTCTCTGCATTGTTTGGGATTTAACAAAAGTTAAATCCGAAACCCAAAAAAAGTTGAGGCAACTTTTTACGTTTGAATAAAAAAATTTTAACACTTTGAACTACGAATTCGTTAACACGATTTGTAGGTGGGGGAGCGAAGTTAAGAAATTTTTTAAATTTATCCCCGCAAAAGTTTAAGTATATCCGTTACATAAGTTTTCGAGTTTTTGACAAACTTGCTGAGATCACAGATATATCACAAGGCACACCAATTTTGATTTCACATTCAGAATTTAGTATGGATAAGTTATCGGTAAGATGGTGTAACGATTTTAATGATATTAAAAATTCAATCAAGTAGAATTATGGTATCGACTCATTCGATAGATACAGTAAGGATCGTTTAAACAATTAACTACGCTAGGCAAATCAGTTCCACAGAAGGCCTAAAACGTGTAGTCTGCTCAGAAGGTAATGGGCACAGGTTCTGGGATGTATGTAAAATAAGTCATTGACTTTACATCCATCCAAAGAACCATAGAAACTGCATACAAGGTAATGGACACAGAAAGAAAAACTTGCTCTACTATTAATACGTCAAATGTTCGCCTTGGTTTCCAGGTAATGGTACCTGCATTCGTTCGTAAGCGTTCGTAAGCGTCCAGGTAATGGTACCTGCATTCGTTCGTAAGCGTTCGCTTTGGTGTGGATATTCCTGTTTTTAATAAACAGTAATTTTTATGATTACTTATTATTTTATAATTTCATTCCTTTTATCATTCTTTCTTTTATCTTCATTCTTTGTTTTTACATTTTTCATATAGTTCTCGATAGTAGAGAGGACCATAGTAATCACGCACAGGTCACTTGTAATCCTAAAACCGATACTGCTTACACGGAAGCGATTTGGTTCTAACAACAAGAATTATTATTTAAAAGAGATCAAACATTTGGAAAGAGATTGAATGAGAGATAATAAAATTCAATTTATGAAGTAATGGAAAAAAAATTTAGTTTGGAATTGCTAAAAAATTTAAAAATTTAAATATTCTTAAATTAAAACTATAAATAATTTTTGATGATACTTTTTATAGGTCAACAGTTAATTTGTTATTTTCTTACTAAAATTAATAATTCAGCAATGCTTAGCATATAAAATACTTTACCGATATAAATTACAACAGTTAGCTTCCAAAAGCAAATATTGATAATTAATTATTCAGCAATCGTATATTTTCTATGGTCAAGTCCACAACATCTATGGGAATCATAAAATATTTTTTATAAAAATTTGATCTAGTTTAAAATAGATACATATTTATGCGTAAATTTTTTATAAAATAAACAAAAATAATTGTGTGACGGATATTCATTAATATGTTAGAGAAGTACTTTAAAAACTTCAGAAATTTTTTGGTATTAAATGCTAGTGATATTATAGTTAAATAGAATAAAAACATGTTTATCATACTGATAAACATCAAACAAGCAGTCGATTCACATTACTTTAAAATGATAGTTCCATTTTTTTTACCGAAAACACGTCAATGAATAATTAAAAAGTTATAATTGATTATATTGCAAAATAATTAGCGAAAAATATATGTACATCCATATTGTAGTATTTGAAAAAAATGTGCGTCTCTACTTGAAGCTATTGAGGACTGGATGATCTAATCCAATTGACACCAACCAGTATTTTTTATTTAAAATTAAATTATATTGAATCAAAAAAAAAAAAATTAAAAAACAGTTATATATTAAATTAATATCGAATTTCCAATATAGGCGTCTTTTGCTTGAATTATGGATTCGAGTCAATCAACAAACAAGCACTCCACATCACGACTTTGGTATTTTATATCACCTTTAGCAGCACAAAACATCAATCATGGTCGCAGTGCTCCGCTCCGTTGAGAGCTAATATCCCGTTTATTCCTAGTCGCCTTTAGTTTACATCGGGTAAGTGTAGAACCCACTTAACAATGAAAATGAGGTGTAAGATTATTACTTAGCTAGTGATGCGTAGCATGTGTGACGTGCAGTATCTTGTTAAAAAATAACAAAAAGGTTATCAAAATAGCTTAAAAAACTTTTTTATTGTAATACTAAGAGATGTTAGCATTACCCTTTTAGTAATCATCGACTATCACAAAGGGTCGTACTTCAGTTCTTGTATATTTATATATTTAAGTTTCTATATAACTCCTGTCTTAAGTAAAGCCAATATTTTTTTGTTTATTATTCAGATTGCAAGAGTGAGATCGAGCGTAGACAACAAGACCGTTTCTAAAGATTATTTTTTCATCAATCTCTTCCTTCAATAACTCGATGGTTTATTTTGAAATCTAGAATATTGCGTAATCTTGTTGAAACCGAAGACTTTTGAGACCATGCTTATTCATGACCATGTATACACAAAAATTTTCAAAAATGGCAATCATCATTCAACAGTGCATTTTTCAAGGAAAGTCAGTAATTGATGGATCAACGTTGAATTATATCTCGCACTAAAAGCCTGAATTTCGAGTACTGGTAATGTCACTAAAACAGAATGAGTATTATCGATAAATAAAATTTTGCAATAAAAACAAACCATTTAAGCGGCTACACCGTGAAGTCACTACGCAAAAGGTGATAGCGTAGCGTCAACTTTTCAATTGAAGAGTTCATCAACCCACCAATGCAATCTGGTAAAAACGTAACCTTAGATTACTGACCAAAATCTTCTTCTGCGTAGATAAGCAGAGTGTAAGTTTATTTAGACGATGTTTATGCTGTGCAATTTTTTAATCGTTCTTCAAATAGACTTAGTATATTTAGTGGACAGTAATGTGTACCCCGAGACTTTCAACTAAAATAATTTTTATATATTACATTTACATAATTTTTAAAATTTTTTTTTATATTTTACACTATTGAAGAACAAAATTACATTGTGTCATTGTATAAAATATTACATATGAAAAAATCTTTGTTATAATAAAATTAAGTATATATTAAACAAAACTTTTAATTTATCTATTATGTGTTACTCAATAACTTTTGCTTTCGAAATTTGAGATAAATTCCTCCCTTTGACTGCAACATAAACGACTTCGGATCAAATTTTATTTTTGAAGTTGTTTTCTCACAGATTTCGACAGTAAAACTCTTAAATATATGAACTAAACCAAGTTTAATTTGTAAAATACCCAGACGACTACCGACACAGGCATGGGGACCAGCACCGAAGGGAATATATGTCATTGGATGAATTAATTTTTTTCTTTCTGAGCAAAACCGATCGGGATCGAATCGATCTGGATCTTTCCAATACTATAAAAAGAAATTTTTTATAAACTTTTTTTTTAAACTTGAAAATAGAAAGTTATTAGTATAATACTTACCTTTGAGTCTCGATGTAAACCAAGTATTGAAATATATGCAGGCATACCCTTCGGTATGTCAAAGTTGACAAACGGTTCTAATGAAAATCCAACATCGTTTCCATTAGGAGTACATTCCCGATTTATAAAAGCAGCTGCAGGGTACATACGTAAAGCTTCAGAAACCAACATGTCCAGATAAGTCATACTCGATAAAGTTTCATGGGTAAATTGTGAAGTATTTATAATGGAAAATATCTCTTTAATCTCACAGCGTAAATTATACTGTAACTTAGGTTGTTTAGCCATTTCGTATAGAGTGAAAGCAATTAACGAAGAAGACGTTTCGAAACCAGCTATTAAAAATATTGCAACTTGCGATAGTATGAAATCTGGATGTTTTATTAAACTGTGATTGATATTTTTGGCTTCACTTTGTAACTGTAGAAGTACAGCTATTAAATCATTACACTCGTTATTCAAATGAATTGTATTCTTCATCATTTTATCTACTTCGTTTTTCAAAAAGTTGACGTAACTCTGTGGAAATACTTTTGCTCTAAATATATTAGCATGATTTGGTAAGAAAAATATTATAAGAAAATGTAAAATCTTTATAAGACTGGGCTCAAGTACTTTTCGACATTGAGTGCGAAATTTTGAGTTGTTATTTTGAAGACTAAATTCTTCAACACTAAACAACAGCTTCACAGTTAGATCAGTTGTAAATTTTGCTGACATTTCTTTCACCTCAATTATTGGTGAGATGGTATGGTTTTGAAATTGAAGATCTATATATGTTTGTAGTTTTGTAGCTACTTGCAAAATAATTGGAAACATTCTATTCTTTAGAGTCCCACTAGTAAAAAGTGCTGATATTGCTTTACGACTATCATGCCAAATTGAATATTTTGCTAGTGGTAATGTAAGAGAGCCTAGTAAATCATTATATGGATCAGCTGCTTCAAATCGATTTAAAAAATAGTTAAATTTTTTAATTAAAATCAATTCAATTATATATGGATCACGTATTAACAAAGCAGGTTTATGCAATATATATATACCTAATAATTTACTACTCCCTCTGTAATATAAATTTTGAAAAAAATCTCCAAATGAGTACTTCATTAGAAACAAATCTTTTAAATTACCAATGAAAGGTATAGATTTAATATATGGTATTTCATATCTTTGCCAATATGAATAATTATATCTGATCCATATGAAAGTAATAATTAAAAATATAAAGCAGACTGCTAGCAGATAGATATATACCATGGCTGATGTCAATGTTAATCTGAAAGAAAATATTTATATAAATCAATTATTAAAGTACATATGTTTCAATCTACAATTTTTTAAATTTTAATATAAGAAGTATACCATATTTTAAAGAAACTATAGAATGATGTTTAACTATATTTAGCATAACATATCACTTGTACGATAAGTGCAAATCTACTTATAAATGAAGTTGTTAAATCGTTTTTGTAAAATTTAACAAACATATTTTCAATATTTTGAAACTAATGAATGAAATATTTATATATATATATGTATAAATTTTCCTTTGTTATTCCCAAAGTATCTTAAAATATTTAAATTGCTTTTGTTGAAGTCTATAAATGAAAACAAGAACTTTGGCTTTTGACTTTTTTTGTTCAATAGAACTGATATTATGAATGGTGTCCCGATGTAATAAATTTCGTAATGAATTTCCGGAGCTCATTCAGTTCAAAATGTTGCCTGAAGTGGATACAACAATATTTTTGTTACTCTTGACTATTGGATTTTTTTATTATGTCTTAAGATTTCATTATAATTATTGGGTACGTAAAAAAGTACCACAAATAAAACCAACTTTTTTTGTTGGAAATATGGGAAATTTAATTCGTATGAAAAATAGTTCAGCAGAATTCATACGCGATCTATATAATCATCCACAAGCAAAAACTGAAGCTTTTGTAGGAATTCATCTGTTCTACAACCCCGCCATTCTTCTACGTGATCCAGAACTTATTAAGATGATTTTGATAAGAGATTTTTCAAAATTTTGTAACAGGTAAGTTAATAAATTTATTTAAATAATTTATAATTTATATAGATAAATAAAATCGTATAGATATTCGAATTCAGATTTAAATGGAGATCCAATTGGTTCGAAGAATATATTTTTTCTTAAAAATCCGGCATGGAAAGATGTCAGACTCAAACTAACACCATTTTTTACCAGTGGTAGAATGAAACATATGTTCTACTTGGTTGATGAAGTAAGCAGTCCATGTGTAAATATTATAAAAATCTCTTTAACTCCTTTTATCAGGTTGGTAGGAGCTTAAATGATTATTTACTATCACAGTCACTTCAAGAAAATGAGTCTAAATTGAATTCATTCGTTTTGGAATTAAAAGAGTTTTGTGCCTTATATACAACCGATGTGATTGCTACTGTTGCTTATGGAGTACAGGCAAATACTTTTAAAAACCCCAATGGTGATTTTAGGCGAAATGGACGTGAAGTATTTCGGTTTAGCACAAAACGTGCTTTAGAGTTTACAGTACTATTCTTCTTGCCACATCTTATGCCATTTTTCGGTTTTAAAGTTGTACCTAAGAAATCTACGGAGTTCATTCGCTCCACCATTAATTTTGTAATGGAACAACGTGAGTTGTCCGGTAAAACCCGTAATGATCTTATAGATATCTTGATTGAATATAAAAACTGGTCCAAGGCACAAAATGAAAAAAAAGAAAAATCTAATGTTTTATTTGAAGGAGACATTTTAGTAGCGCAAGCGGCAATATTTTTTACCGCAGGCTTCGAAACCTCATCAGCGACTATGTCATTTGCACTTTATGAGTTGTCCAAAAGACCATTACTACAGAAACGCGTACGCGATGAAATTAGAAATGCTCTCAGAGAAAGTAATGGAAAAGTAACCCAACAGTTAATTGATTCGTTGGAATATACACAAATGGTTATTTATGAAACTTTACGGCTATATCCACCACTACCATTTTTAGATCGAGAATGTACCATAGATGCGAATGATACTTATACGCTTGATAAAATTACAATTAAGCGGGGCATGCCAATTTATATACCGGTTTACGGTTTACATATGGATCCAAAAGTAAAATTGTTTAAAATTATTATTTTTAATATGTTTAAATTTTGAAATTTATTTTTCAGTTCTTTCCGAATCCAAACACTTTCGATCCTGAGAGATTTTCAAATGAAAACCGTAAATCAATAAAGTCGTGCACTTATCTGCCTTTCGGTCAAGGACCTCATGCTTGCATCGGTGAGCGATTCAGTATGTTACAGATCAAAATTGGACTTGTTTACTTTTTTTTAAGTCATTACGTTACCACTTGTTCAAAAACCAAATCCGAAATGAAGTTAGATCCAAAAGCAATTATATTACAGGCCGAAGGTGGAATATATCTCAGTGTTGTTCGCGATCCGATAAATGCATGACCGCCTCAAGAACCTTTTAAGAACTAAATTTAGAAGAATGTGAATGCTTAGTAGATTTAGATGCGAGATTGATAGTTTGAAAAACAATTACTAATGACGTGACTTTTTACCTTTGAATTGATTCACAATTATTTCTATTATTTGCTGGTTTTGTAACATTAAACACGCGATATTTGATATTTAAATACTTATTTTCCATATTAATTAATCGGTGCGAAAACAAAATAATTACATTGAACACATATCAAAATTACTGTAAAATAAGAATATAAAGCCAATGAACATCCACGGATCACCAACTGCAAGGAATTTCTAATCTATAACGAGAAGAGGTACTTCTCTTTCCCCTCAGAATTTCACTAAGGGCCAGAAAAGAAACAGGGTTTCTAAGAGCGGGTGAAATTATAATTAAATCTATAACAATTTGGAACTATTGATTTTATTAGTTATAATTTTAAAAACGCATAATAAATTTAACATTTTTTATTCGAATAACTTAAAATAAATTTGTTTTTCTTAATTTGCAAAATATATTCATAATTAAAATGTTATATATAAAATTCATTATTGAAGATAAACGAGTAACAAGTAACTATCTGATAGGCTGTTATATATTCAACAGAGAAGCAAATGAATACTAAGTTGGAAAATGTGTGAAGTCCAAAAGTTATTTTTGTTATATACCTGAAGAATCATTGGTGTAAGCGCTTTATATCTGCCTTGTGTTTTTCACAAGAATTTTGAATGTTATTTTTTAAAATACCTATCATTCTTTAATTATTACAGTTGATGAAATTACAAACTTAAAACATGCCTTAGGTTCTGGAGACCCTCCTAATTTATTTGAAACATCGTCAAAGAAAAGTGCCGAAATATTTTGTCTCTATTAGTTAAAGAAATGAAGATTTTTCGCAAATAGAATTAAATTTAAATACACATTTATTGTTTCACATTCACATCATAAAAATATAAATATTAATTTTAGAATATCAAGAATTTTAGAATAAATATCATTTTAGAGCAATAACAGCAAAGCATCTTGGTGAAATCAGTGAATCAAATATTGGTACTAAATAACTACGTTCGTAACCCAGTTCTTTAAGGTACAGTAAACGATCTAATAAAATTATACTCTCCAATACCGGTGCAAAGGCCATTCGGAGTAAATAAAATAGATCTAAATAGTTTTTGTGTATCGCATAGTCAGATTCAATTTTTGTTATTCGCTCCGTGCTAATAGATTCGAAATTTATATTTACTTTATTAGAGCATAATTTTAAGTATTCTTTAAAATTTCTATATTTTTTTATTCTACCCACTTGTACTGTATTTCTTAAATCTGGATTCATTTCGCATATTAAAACTTCTAGTAGCGCTCTATAGAAAAGTGATATGTTTGGTAGCTCATTGGCTGCCAATGTTCGATCCATAGATTGTACTGCTAGCATACGCGCATTGCGGCCAAGTTTCACTTTTTTGTTTCTTAAAAAATTACTCATAGGAAAGCCTTCTGTAGTTTGTTTATCCATAAAAACCTTATTACCAAAAAATTCTGGACCAGAAAATGATTCTTTTAACATATGATAACAACAACCAATGTTACAAATAATTTTACATTCTTGTTGTGCATGAAATACTTTTAAACAAGTAGGCGCTAAGTTCCCGCAAGTGTGTAATCCAGTAAGGCAAAAATTTGGTGATACCATCGTGGGAATTGAAAACAGTTCCTTTATTAGATGTGTAATTTTTAAATCGGTGGTTATGAATTTTGAAATGGTTTGATAGTTAATAACGTTTTCGTTAATATTTGTAGAAACAATTTTATCTTTTGGTTTGTTGCCACGGCGTGGCGGTGTTATACCTTTGTTTTTCAATTCTGCACGTACCGTTAGGCTGTTCCATGCGCGCTATTTATAAAAATAATATTAACAAAAATAACTAATCTAAGGCAACAATCTACCACACCTGTAGTTTATTACTTCTTCTCAGAGCACTTTCCGTATTTTGTTCATTAAAGTCAATGCCTAGAACTTTGTGCTTGTATTGAAGTGCTAATCTGGATGATAAATATCCTTTTCCATCTCCAGCATCCACAATAAACATAAGATTGTGTTTTTCGTTCGGATGAATTTCCATTAAATCATTTACTAGTTCCGCAGTAAGCTCGACCTTAATAAAAAGTATAAAATTTTGAAAATGTAGGATATTTTGAATTGTCATACCCACCTCATGGCTCTTCTTTTCACTCATAAATTCTTTAATTGACAACTTTTCATTAACATGCTCTTTTCCTAACGATTTATATAAATCTTCAACTGTTGTTATAATATCTTCACAGTTGCTCAAGTCATATTCCAAAGCATGAGAAAAAAATTGATTAATTGCTTTAAACTCATCCAGTTTTAACTCCTTTTTATTTTTGTGTATAAAAATATTTTTTATACAATCCTGAACATTTTGCTCATCAGATATTTCTGCACGTATATCAGTAGGTATATGTTGATTCCAATGCTTATCAGTAATGTAGTTTACCATGTGGCAGTTCACAAACTCCCAATATGGATGCATAAAATTCAAAATTGCATTCAAACGTTTTTTAATATTTGTTATACTCATCTTGTTTATTTTGTATATGGTATATATCAAAAAGAAAGATCTTTTCGAATATCCACTGTATTTTTATCTATTTTACAATCACTTTTAATTTCTGACATAACCTGTAATCTCCTAAATTGTACACGAATTTGTTCCAAAGCAGTTTTATTGTCTATGTTTACATCGATGTTACTTATAAAATCATCAATTGCATGTCGCAAATGCTCCAAGCTGCGTTTAATTTTAGAAGTATGTTGAAATTGTAGTTGTGCCACAACAAATCCGTACATGTCACCAATCTCTTCACCTAGCGCAATACCGTGAGCATAACCCAAAGCATGTCCTTCTTTAGTTCCCTCAGTTAGTCCTTCTTCAAAACCAACATGATAACTTTTATTAGCTATATTGTTTTCTACAAGTGCAATGTCGTCAAAAATATCATTAATATCCCGTTCGACCACCTGACCCGCCATTGAAACATTTGTTGCTGGTTTTTACATACGTGCTAGTCATCTGTGTTTCTCATGCGTTTATCGTAAGCCATTCACAATAAAATGACTGTGTATGGCAATGTATATTCACAATTGCTGAGTACATTCACAACAAATATTTTAGAAAAGTAAACTGCTAAATTTCTATAACTAATAAAACCTTTAATAATTATATTTAAAGATTAAATATAATTAAACTAATTAACAATATTATATATTGGAATTTACTATTTATTAATATATATTTTTTATTTTTGTGTTAAAAATATTTTATTCTTTTCTTCTTTGTATTATGTATATAAATATATAATCAATATATGCTTACATTGTTATTTACCTAATTTTATCTAATTATATGATTGTATATATTTTAATTTATTATGTCCAATTAATAAAAGTAACTAAACAGTATGTAACTTATATTATTAATGGTGTCATATACATATTTGTGAAAAATTTGATGATAAAAATGCAAACATATACGCAATTTTCAGCGTATCTTCCAAATTCTTAGAATACTGAAAGAATTGTTTCAGTTTATTAACAATTAATAAATATGTGATTACTGTTTAATTGTTTAAAATTTTTTAATAGTGAAGAACCATTATATAACAAATAATAATGAAAAATCACATTAGATTAATAATGAAAAATCACATTAGATTATATAATGTTATTTAAATCAAATTATTTAGTATGCAGTTTTTATTTATTTAAATCTTTTAATAAGGATCAAAAAATCAAGAATTTTAAGTTATATTAATTTGTAGAAAACTAATGGAATTATTGATATTAAATTTTTTATTGTTATAAGTTTATAATCAACGAAATTAAACTAGCGATAATTACACTAGTTTTTGACTACAATAATTCAATTATGAACAAAACAGAACAAACAATCAAATATTATCGTTTTTTTAATTTACAAATAAGTATCAAATTAATAAAAATAGATTATTTAAAAATTAAAAAATAAAGAATTCAAAATTAAAACTATTTTTATAAATTAGGAAATTTTTATATATTTATATATTATTTTTTAACTTATGGTGTTTTCGATTGTTAAATCTGGGGTAGTTTTTTCATAATAAAACATAACATGCCCTTTTAATACACTCGAGATTAATGTATAACACTCGAGATTAATGTATAACACTCGAGATTAATTTATTACACTCCAGATATTTTGCCAGAGTAACAAGATTACTCTGAAATTAACAACTGTTTTATATGATTCGATATATGTGTTCGTGAAAAATTGAAATGTCTATATATAGAATACTTTCTGTAAATAAAATCATTTAAAGGTTAAAAAAGCAGGAACTTAATTGTAATTAAGTAAATTTATATAACTTAGATTTGCGATTTAGTTCTAATAACAGTACAGCAAGTAAAATTGCTATTATATTTTCATATTTATAAAATTTTAATAAAAAAAATTAATTTATTTATTAATTTATTTATGCATATGCAATTAAAATTTTAACTCAGAATTTTATATATTATAAAATTCAAGTAATAATGAATCAATATTTATACAAAATTATTTGTAATTGGTTTTATTAATTTAAACAATAATTATAAATAAAAATATAGGGATTCAAATATAAAACCACATGCTTTTCGTATTTGTTCATTAATCATTTCGTTTAAATCCTACCTAAAATTCACACTGACACTTATTTATATGTAGTGTACGACATATTTGTACATAATATGTGCTAATTTTTGTATTTTTCGTAACTCCTAATTTTCATTAAGTCCCAGTATCCTTCAGATGTCGTCTTAATGACTGCGACAAATTTTGTCTGCAACATTAATAATTAACATATATAGTTGACGTCATAATACCGTCAAACACCGCAACGTCAAACGCATTAGCTTGCAAGGTCTTTCAGCTAAAAATAGTGTTGTAAAATTAAAATCATAAACCACTCAAATAAATTCAATGTAAATTTAAATTCCTCGGAATGCAACATTCATTCTATCAAATTTTCCGGAATATCTATAAATAAAAGACCAATATATACATATGTACATCAGAATAGTGATTCTGTAACAAGTAATTTTATTTATGTACTGAAGTAACGCCTAATATCATTGCTATATGATAGCAAGTATATTATTTTATATACAAAACATTTAATAAGCAAAGCATTAATTTAGAATAATTTACTGACATATGGACGATTGCCAATCAAATAATTGTGACAATGCCAATAGCAAAGCAAGTAAATATTTACATAAATATACAAACATGAAATGCCATAAAAAGTATATAAACAGACATATGTACGTATGCAAATACAATTTAAACGTTTGTAAAATGCATATTCTTTGGGTTTTTCATAAATATGACACTTAGAAGGCAAGCTCCGTTGCAACAAAAACTGTACTAATAGAAAAAAACAACATAGTATTTCAGTGACGTTTTATGAAACCCAACTTCACTTGCACACCATTTAAGTTGCCATATATCCTAATAACAAAGTTTCAATGTGGAAAATAGTTAATAACAGTTCAAAGCTACCAAACAGAAACAACTACATTTATACATATGTATATTAGCGATTTAGCGACAAATAAGTCAGTCTAATTTAACCTTGCTTTCAACGGAATCCCGTACTAGCTACCGGCTGCGTCCCCTTGTTTTGATGGGTGTATTTCATTTGTATACCTTTTATTATATCGTATCTAGTGCATTGTACACCAACTCAGTTTCCACAAAAAACTAAGTGAAAGCGTTTTTTAACAATTTCCCTTGAAGAGTTTGTTTCGTGCATGTAAAATATAGGCACACGATTGTATTGTATTCTCAGTTTTGGATTGTTTTTTTATTTTTTGAAATTAGTATTCAGTTCCGATATCTACTACTTATCTACTATGAATATATACAAGATAGTATATATTTATATATACGTCAGTAAGAGAAAATTATAATTTCAAAGCAAACATTTTTTTAACAAATTCAGCAATGAAATATATTAACATCGAATAACACCAAAATTCGCAAGACTAACCATTTTAAAGTCTGTTTCAAAGGATCGCTGTACTAAATATATGTAGTTATTCGATTAGAAACAAATAACCAGTGTACTGGTAGTTCCTCTGCTATCACAATTTATCTAACAAGCTTGACTTTATTTATTCCTTCATTATTGAAATATCTTCGCTGCTTTAGTTCTTTTTATGGTTTGTGATTGTTGCTCAGATTTGACTTAGTAGAGGGACTGAGATATTGTTTTGAGAAGTGTTATACAGTTTATATTATATAATATTGCTGCGTTATTCATTTCAAAGTAAGTCAAAATGTTCTTTCCAGCGCTACTTAATTTTTGACTTATCTCGTATTAGTGAACTATCCTACCCTCTATATATTATGGTAAGTGCATCATTGTTATGATATTATATTTTGTTAAATTAAATAAACATAAACCAGAAACACAAAAAAAAAGAGTTTACTTAAAATAAATATTATAAATTCATTGATTTGCCAATGGACGAGATCAAGAATCAACATGTCTTTTAAATATTTTCGTTATATACCGACGCATATATCCAACTACTATATTTTCATCATATTTATTACAAACCACATGTCTGCAAAATCGTCATAGTAAGTATCATTCTTTGAAGACTGCCTATCATCCTGTTAATGTACTTTGTAACTCAATGTTTTCAATAAAATTTTTATTTCGGTTAAGTATTAAATAAATTTTGGTAAATTTTAAAAATTGCTTAAATTTCTAATATAATAATATAATATATATTAATTTATTATTAATTATTAATTAAGAATATAAAACTATATCTTCCATTACTGATATCTTGATATTCTTTGAATTGTACAGCTAAGTTTCTAAATTTATTATTAGATTTTATAGATTAGAAATCTTTTTAACAGTTATATATAGTTGGCAGTCAACATGGGGACGGCCCATGTCTTTTAGTGAGTTTTATGACATTTTTTTTTAACAGAATTTATTTAAGAGCAAGTATACATTACTTTATTCCATTAAATCTATGAATAAAACCCACATAATAATTTTCGTCATTTATTGTTACCATAAATATTATGTTTTTTAATAATATGTTTTTGACCAAAAATTTTAGTAATTGAAAAATAATTTTAATAAAATTTATATTGGCCGTTATTATTTATGACCTTTTCCTATTTTTCAGATAATTTCATTATTGCATCGGTGTAGAACTTCTGTGGTTTATCAGTGACAAATTCAGCGGTCTTTCGGTCAGTTATACAATGTTATGGGTTTTTATTGAAATGTGATTATATCTCATACTACAAACACTAAAAAAGCGTTTAAAGATATGCTTTAAAATCACCTAATATATAGAAAACCGACCAGATAATTCTATTATTAAAATCTAATATATTGTTTACAACACCATATCTTTAACAAACTTATCTTATAGATACTTTACTTTACTTATAGAAAATAAATGTTTATAAAAGTTACGTCCTCATTTTGAAATGTATCAGAAAATGATACTTTGAGTCATCTTTTTTGAAATTTATTTAAATTTAAGTCTATAAGTGTAATCATTTATGTTATAACAGTAATTTTTATCAATGTTTTCACTTATACAGGCTAAAGGCCTATTATAACTGATTCACAAAATATATAATTAGTTATCAATTTTTTATCTATACTTTTTACGTACAATTTTTTGAGTTGAGTTTTAGCTGCTAGTTTAAGTTTGTCTTATAATAGCAAAGATTTTAAAATCTCTTCCATTAAAGGGCCTCATAACTTTCAACTTCTAAAAAATATTTAAATATTTAAAATATTTGATAACAATCCATCCTAAAACATAAAATTTTTAATAGCGCCTTATAGTTCTTATCTGTCCTATAGTTTATCATTTATAAACATATGCACTGAATTCGTAGTGACAAAATTCTATCTAAACAACCAACGCATGGCATGTGACATTTATTCGAATAACAATATTCAGAAATGAAGTTCAATTAATCCTTTAATAAAAA